CAGAATATAAAATACTTTCAGATTTTATTTTTGCCCTAAACACAAAAAAATATTTTCAACTGCCGCTGGGAATTTAACTAAAAACTCATGACCACACTTGATAAAAAATTCTACAATGAAAAGGGTTTCTGGAAAGTAAACTTGAAGAGCATAAATTTCATTTCAAAGTAGTGATAACTTTTCAAATTTATCTTATTGTGGGTATAAGAAGCGTTTCAAAGTCTAACGCTTGAATCTGTTTTTTTTTTCAACCTTGAGCTGAAGTTTACAGCCTCTTTTCATCTTTTAATAATAGTGAAACATTGAATATGCCACAAACACATGAATATATGATTTCTCATTAAAGATTCTCTCCAAATTTTTTGATCAATTAAAACTTATCTGGGAGCAGGCTGAAAATCCTGTGCTTTAAATTGGGTTCAGTAATCGCCTTATGCCTCAATTTTCATTGAGATATTTTTATCAGGGAGGGAAGAAAATGTATGCATTTACATCAGTTGTGAAATTGTACATTTTTGGGATGTATTTTATTTTATTTTAATGTCCATATACAGCCTATTTTTCTATTCTCCATTCCGATGTGATTGAATGTGTTTGGGTGAATTTTTGTGGGGGGGGGGGGTGTTTGGGTATGGAAACATTGCTTAGACCTCCTGAACGCTGGAAAAAGTGAAAAGTAAAGCTTGCTGTTCAATTCATATCAATTCACATATTAACTATAGGGGGTTTGAAAACTACGTGCTTGATGGGAACTTCTTCTGTTATTTTAGCAATTACAGATTTGCGTGACCAGCGACTAGCAAAATCCAAAATGGTGGAATTCACAAGTTAAATTATAAAAGGCGTTGAATATATATATTTTTTTCGATGCATCTTTCGGTCCTTATTTTAAACTCATCCTTCACCAAGTTCGTGAGTTCCTTTCAAATTCCTGTTTCAGTTGAAAGGGCAACTTTACTTTGTACTTCGTATTGTTGTTCGCATCAGCTATGTGCTTAGCGAAAGTTGCTTGACGTGAGGTTTAATTAGAATCTACCATCGTCATGAAAATTATCGTGAGAATCACTGTGAAGCCAGCGGATGAATCTGAAAGTTCACTTGCGGACAACTACGAAGCCTGTTTTTGGGCAACAACGAATCTCAGCCTACGCTTAGATGTTAGCCTTTCGCTCATCTTGTCCACAAAATTCCTGCTGGAATTCTCGACGAATTTGTAGGATACAATTTAAAGTATAATTTTTTTTTGAAAATTTTCAAAACAATGCCAAGGAACGTTTTAATCTTCTGTATTAGTACAAATAATTCGGTTGTTTCGCCCATTGGTATTCCAAGAAAACGTCCTGGATGAACCGGAACTAAGTGAAATGCTTTGAAAGGAAATACTGTATGCCGTGCCTATGCGTTCTTTTCGTATTCAAATTATTCAAAGCAGAATGTTCCAAACCACTGTGAGGCCGATAACAAAGCTTAAAGCAAGCCATTGTTGTTCAACTCCTAATTATTTTCTCGTATTGCTGTCTTGACTTGAGCAACTTCTCCCCAGTCGATTGTTATCTATCAGAGATATCTCCACATTCAATATTACCAGCACAAACATTACCGAATCCGAACATTTCATTTATTATGAAACTAGTGATCATTATTTTTAAATTCAAACTAAAAAAAAATTACGGTTGCTGTTCCGTATGTAAAATAGTCGACGCAGTATCACGAAAATAGCCTGAAAAATTTATGGAACACGCGTTTGACAATTTAATCTCGTTTTTTCGGATATTGTATGAACTTTCAATTTAGTTTTCATCTTTTTGTATTCATTGCGGTGAATTAATTCAAAAATGATTAAATATCACTCAATAAAAATTATTCACATCTTCGCACTTCCAAAATGCAGTTTGAAATACTGTATACAGGCAAATTTTGCGAACTAATCCTCGTCAAAAGCTATGCTGAAGTGGCTAATTGAAAGTTGTGAGGATTCCTGAATGAATGAATGGATATCTTTCTGTCCATTTTTTTTCTTCGAATTATTCGGTGCGTGGAATGTTCTTGAATGGTTACAAGTCGTCTTCCAGGCTTTTTACTCGATGACGACAGCAAAATCTTGTGTACGGTGGCTCGGAAATCGGCGTAACAACTTCGAAAGTCAAGTGCCAAAGTCTAATAAGAATCCTTTTGTGATCCCAAAAGTTTGTAGCATGAAAGAGTTTTCATTGTACTGGAGAAATCACTTTCTCCTATGGACAACTTGAGAAAATGTCAGCCCAACAAACGAACTGACCGATCGAGTTTTGTGGGTCTGTTGCCTTTTTAATTATCGAGAAAAAAAAACTTGCTTTCATTATATGGACCTCAAGGCCAGTTGGTTTTTACCCAATAAATTGTTGAATTGATCTACGAATTCAAGCAATGAGATCATTTATAAATTTGTTCATTTATTCAGCATGCGGTTGCACAAACAGGCGATAATTCCTTCAAGTTTTGCCCTCTTGGGGGTATTTCGGTATACACACGAAGAGAGATTTATTCGAAGTAAATGAATTATTATTTGCTTTTTGAAACACGTTTTGAAACTAATCCCACTCATCATGTCGGTAAAAGTGCCATTTACACGCGTTGCGAACCTGTTGGCGAAAGAGATCCCAGTGACCCACATGGGGAAAAATGCCTCGCAGCCATGAGAAAGTTAAGTGTGTTCTCGATTATGCAAGATTCGATGGTTCAGGAAAGAAAGGATATTTTATATTCAAGAGGAAGAACTTGTACAGCAGAATCTGTGGGTATTTATCTCCGTTTTTTTTACAGACTTCTTACACAACTTGAACTGCAATCATGTGGGTTGGTCTCTTATTTTATTTTATTGTTTCTCAGATGGATGGAAATGGCGTGATTTGGTAAGAAGTGTAATGCCAGATCATTTTAAAATTTGCTCGCAAATTTTTTCTCATGCTAATTGAAATTATAATAAATTTATGGAATCAACTTCGCTTGCTTTTAGGGAATTATTTCATTTTATGCACCCTGTTTGGATTTTTTATTCGTTGCAGCCTCTAATAGTCGATTTCACGCAAAAATGCTTTTAGATGTTAAAACCAACGAAAAGCAATTTTGAGATGATTGCATAATCGTATTTTAAACCTCCTGCTTCAATAAAATGCAGTGCATTCGACGACTTTCCGGCAGATACTAATACAGTATTATTTCTCACTTTACAATGCTTTAGTATTGAACCCTTTTAAGTTATAGTGTTGAACACTAACGGAAATGCAATCCTTGTCAATTTTGAGCTGACTGTACCATCGCAAAATTTTGAAACCTTGGATTCATACTCTGAAAGATTCCTCAATAATTTCCTGTTCTTTTTGCTTGACTATAGTCGAACGCTGCAAAACATTTAATATTCGAAGCTGATTGGATTCTGCGGCAACCTGACATTTGAAAAAAGCTACCTCTGAAACGTTTTCAAAAATATGAATTTTTTTATACGTATATAGTGGCGTATGATGATCCCGCAGTGAAATCTTGCCATCTTGTTTGACTTGTGTCACTTTAATTTCACTTTTTCGCAAAAGATCATTGACCTGCTGAATAGAGTTACTGTACAGATGCTTGTGATGAAAACAATAATGGTAGGGGAAGAAAAAGGAGCTCTCTTTTTCTCCGTCTCTCTTTTCTTTTATTTTGGGACTAGCAGCTCTAGATTGGCCCCCAAGAGGACCAGTGCCTTCTAGCTTTTATTAGCCTGTGCGATCTGTGGTTCTCAACGTCATTGGTCTTGAAACTAGTCGGGTTATTTTCTGCCTGATGATGACGTTACATGCTGAGCTGGAATCCAGGCTAAAGCAGCTCTCTTCTTCAGGCATTTTCTTCTTTATTTTTTATTATATTTTTGTATTTCATTCTCGTATTATAGAAAGCATCAGCAAGTCCTGCCTCGGGGGCCAGGAAGCAGGAAACCCCGCCATTCAATCCGGGTTGACTGAATGGCGGCCCGTTACTTGCTCGCTGACGTGGCTTTTCAATGGGCTTCCCCAAACTGTCGGCTTTCTTGCTGAGGGTTTTTTTAAAGTAGCAATCGATTAATTTCATCATCAGTTGTCGACTCCTTTATGAAACTCACTTGACGCAGACAACGACGACTTTACGTACTTCACATAGTCTAGAACAGACTTTCGTCAACTTAGAAAAATAAAATAAAATAAAAATCCAAGATAAGTACAACAGTTAACTGATCTGGAACTAACCTTTGATAAGAACAACTTTTCGATAGCAACTTTATGGGCTTCCATGTCAGGGAATATTCAAAGCGGTTTTCGAAGTTGAATGGAATTAGTCTTTAACTTTAAAAGCATGTCAAATTCACCTTGTTTTAATAAATGCTCTCGATAGTTTTCGAGGTATAGTACATTACTTCAAGTTGAATTGGCCCGCGATGATCCAGTTTATTGCAATAAATAATTCAAATACGAACCTCCTTAATTTGTTTGTAAAGAATAAATTCAAAAATTCGGCGAAAATCGAATGAAGGATTATTGTACGGTAAATCAATCAAATGATCGCCGCTCATTTTTTGTCTTTGATCCAGCTTTCAAGTAGCTTTTCGAAATCTTCCAAACGCTTCTTCGTTTTGTTTTTGTAGAATCTTTGAAAATGTATGCTCTTCTCAAAGGTGTGGAAATGCTTCTACAATATACTGAATTTTCGAAGGCAAAATAAAAGTTATGAAGAAACGTATTTTGAAAACCATCTTAGAGCAAAACTTTCTTGCGCTTTCTTCCAATCGAATTTTTACGTGCAATTTTCTATTAATTTACTTGTGAGGTTCTTCGAATTCTGCTATCAATTTTTTTTGCAATACGCTTTGTTAACGTGTACGTCGAATAAAAGGGACTTGTGTTCATGTGTCGATAACTACCGTTTCAGCACTAGGTATAATTGCTTAACACCCTACTAAATAACTTACAGAACGAAACGTCTAACAACCAAACAAATTTGGCACGCAGCCTTTGCCATGCCGATGTCAAAGATGAAAACTGCATGGAAAATCGGTTGCTGATCGCTCGGGATTAGGATTCGGTGAGTAAAACTTCTCATGTTCGCTGGGTTATTTGAAAAAAAGAAGTAAATTAGGAATATATTTCTTTAAGCACATTCTTCGCTGGAGGCTCCTGGAAGTTTTTAGAAAGTCCGGGTACGTGAGAGAGAAGCGTTTTAACCCGCGGTCACTTTATGACGCGTTTTGCTCTGGGTGCGATGAAACGTGACTTGGCTGGAAGGTTTGTCACTAACTTACTATAGTGCATACCACAGCCCTTTTACCGAATATAACGTGACTCTTAGTTTTTCCAGGTGAAGATCTTTGACCCTGAGAAAAGACCAGCGTGCATTTCCGCGATTAATTCCTCAGTCAGCATTTTTTCTATGAATAAACGTACAGGGTTTCCTTGCCGGGGTTTTGATTTCAAATGCCGCGGAAACAAAAACTCGTTACCGACCAACTTGGAGTTATCCGAATGAGCGCCAAGGGAAACTGATCGCGCCCCAAAATGCACGTCGTCGTCGTTGGAGACTGATTAAATTTATAATTATGAATTAATTGATATGTAATTAATGCAACCCACAGAAATTCTGTAGCTGCGTTCCCTGCCCTATTTTTTAAAATCTCTTCTCTTACTTCAGAAGTCCTAAAATCGGGAAATACTTTATAATGGGAAACACCCCGGATGAATCTTCGTTTCGCCCTTAATAAAATGCTCATATTCCCAGCATCAGAGAATCCGAAAATAGAATGAAAACGTGTTGAAGTTTACGGTTTAATTTTATTTAATCTCGTTCTCATCTGAATTTATGTCGCTGTGGAAATGTTTAATTTTTTTCGTGAATAGAGAGATTTCTTCATAAAAGAGAAGTCTATTTTCAAACGCAAGAGGAGAGATTCCGAGTCGTGTCCGGGTGATTATTTTTTATTGAAATTTCAAACTTCAGCCCCATTTTTATTGGTTAAGCAACGCGTGTCTCTGTAAATGTTGTAGGATGATCCATTTTCATACATACTATACTTATTTTTTGTTTCTGTTATAATTTATTTTTCCAAATCCTATAGATTCAAGGGAGGTTTGGTTTCGCGTGGAAACAAAAGCACATAATCTCTTTAAACTTTCTAAAAGAGGGATAAGTATTATGCAAAACTACTGTCATTGCAAGTACTTCCGGAATAAAAGTGCAGGAGGAAACGGTTGCAGTTTTTCTTTATTTCGCTGATAGACCATAGAAAATGTGTTTTTCAATCAAATATGACGGTAAGCTCATCGAGCTGACGTTTATTTGGGTGGCGCTCAGTTGTTCCTGGCGCTGAGCTGTCTCGACGCTCGGTTGGACTAACTGTAGAAAAACGCGGGGGATGGAATTTTTAATGCCGCTGGCTGCAGATTCTCTCCGGGTGTGGAATATTTTCACGCACGCCAAAGAAGGCTTTTTTTTTTGTTTCCTTCTTGCGATTTTGTGTCGGGGGAAAAAAATCAAGTGTGTTCCTTTCAAATCTGACGACGTGGGAGCTGGTTTAAGGAGCCTCCAAACGACCTTCTTAATCTGTAGTTGCAACTTTCTAAAAAGAAAAAACCACTTTTTCCCTTTAAATGGGATGCTTGTTTGTGCTATTTTCCGGGTCGATGAACCCGTCTACAGCCTCGTATGAGCTTGTGATTTAGAGCCCAAAAACTTACGAGTTGTTGGTTGAGGATTTCCTGTTTTTCTTGAGAAACAGGACAGCGAGAAATATTGTTCTCTTCAACGCGATTATTGAACAAAAAATAGATACGTTGAAAAATGCAATGTGCGTTTCTATAATCAGCGTACAGGTAGGCTCTTATTTCAACGATTTTCTCTGTACTGTATAACGATTTATTTGTGTCCCGAAGGCTTAGGGTACCTTCCCATTGTTTTATGGGTTATCTTTGACGAAATTCTGAGTACAACAAATCTTCTGGTTCCTCGGATTCTTTTGTACGTGTATTTGAGCGTAAATGAAGAGAAGGCGAGGACTGGCTCGCTGAAATATGCGAATTTCCTGCTGTATTTTTTAAAACTTAATTTCAGTTCTGAATTGTTGGCTTGTCCCGTATGAATTAAATTTGTGTGTTATTTCACAAACCAAATATAATTTAAGTTTTATTCTTGTACTGACCACTTTTTTGTATCCCAAAATTGCGAATGTCAGAAATGTCAGAGTGAGGGCCTTTGCAGTTTCACACGACACAATACTGTATGACGATATTAGAATGAATAAGTTGTCTGCGGAAGCATGATCAGAATGTATTACCCGTATATTTTGATCGCATTCTAGTCCGAAATGTTCAAGCTATTGTGTTCGAAAACGTGCAATTTAGTGAACTTTCTATCAATGGCAAATGTCTCATGTATAGTTTAACGTACGAAAGTGCAGTCAACGAAAAATATCCACTGTTTTCTCGATTTTCTATGAATATTCTGTCGATGAATTGAAATAAATTGAACGAAAACGGGCCGCGAAATATCTGCGAGGAAATTATAAAATTGGCCCGAATGCGCTGGGCACACTGTTTAATTTTTTTCGTATATTTCCGGAAATGTAGCTGATGAGAATCTTTTCGAAGGTGTAATTTAAACCCGATACTTTCTTCCGAGAATAGATCCGGGCTCTTCATTCTTGTCGGAATACTAGGCCAAATACCTTGGAGGCTGAATATTTTTTGTTAAGCCGTGATTGAACTGACTGATGGACCCGAAACCACACCTCGGGGGTTCTTTTTCAGATAAATTACCGGGGCTTTGCGGTTTCCGATCGCCGTTTTATGGGATTCCTTCCATCTCTTGTACATTTTATTTTTTTATTGTTGGCATTTTAGATAGATGATCATTGGGATTTGACGTGATGGTGGAGTTGAAGGTGAATAACGATGATAAGAGATGAACATTTTCGACATGGTTAACATTTTTTAATCGTTTTCTTGCGGTCGGGGGAAATGATAAAGCTCCCCAGAGAAACAGCTATTCACTTTTACATTTGTCTCGTTTCTTTTGTGCAACATGGAAAACGGAGTTTTTAATGAAAATACGAGCACTGTACAGTATTCCACATGTTGCTGTGGGTTTCGTTTGAAATCATCGGTTGATCCTGAGACTGCTTTCCTTCTCGAAAATCGATTTTCTCCTTCATCATTGACCGATTCCCTTTTAACTGCTGGATATTTTTTGCGTCATTAAATAATTCGTTTAGAAAAAGCGTATCTTCCATGCGTTTCAACAAGCTGTGGATCGGGATTTCTGATATGTAGTGATGCAGATTTCAATCAAAATCATTGACATTGCCGTTATTCTCTGAATATGATTACTTTCAGCTGTGTTTACTCATTTTATTTTTTATTTCTCTTTTCAATGAAAATTGAGCCGCTGTTGGGGGCAGTGTTATATGAAATTTTTGCTTCTAGAACATTGATTTCTTCCCATTGTTGGTGCATTTTTTTTTAACGCGGAAGAATGCGATCACAATAGTTCCTAGGGTCAGTCCAGTGTGCTTCCGTTTTGTAAAAATAATGAAAAGTAAATTTTTTCGGAAGTCTGGGTGAGTGACTTGACATGTCCGCAGGTAAAGAAACTTATTTTTCCGCTTCTGCTTTTTTTTTCAAATAATGACAGGTTTGGTGCATAAGGAAGGAAATATTCTTGAGCGACGTGAACGTGAGCGGAACGTGGCGGGATTAGATCCGAATTTATTCGCCAAAGAAATGTTAAAAAAAAAAAACCTGCTGCGCATAATCGATGGGTGTCACAACCTGGCTTGTGAATTCTCCAAAAAAAAGGGACCTTTTCCTAATCTTGGTAAAATATTCGTGTTTCATGAATTCTGGAGGAATTTTGAAAGCTCGAAGCAAACGGAATCCATTACTGGGAGATTTTGAGAAGCATAATTTTTCTCGTTTTTTATTCTCAAAGGAGTACAAAGATTTCATGGCTTGAATGGTGATCAACTTTCAGAATGATCTCAAATTATTAAATCGTTGAAAAAATAAGCCAAAAAAATTTTATGCAAATTTCCAATCCCTGGACGCTTTTATTTTTGAAAAAAGTATCGCGTGTGCACAATAATTTACCTTTTCGCAATGAGCGTTGATTAATTTTTTAAAAGAATTAAATCCAGAAAAAAATGTTTGATTTTTAATGCATAAAAAGGCTGGTTTCGGAAAAAAAAAAAGACGCCTTGTATATGCTTCATCGGTTGGATGTTAGAATACCGTGACTTCTTCGCACTTTACATTATTACGAAATGCTCCTCTCATTCATCCGCTAAAATATAAATCATTGACAACGTCGTCGGATTATTTTTGGAACCGAGATCACGATTTTCGTTCGCCGTCTTTTTCCCAAAAATTTTTTTTTACATCACCATTATTCCAACTCCTGGTATGCTCGTGATAATTTTTTGGAGGACTCGAATAATTTTTTTTGTGTGGTTTGGAAACCCCGAAGCAAGACTGGAACCATTTTTTAAACGTTTTCACGAGGACAGAAGTTCCCGGACGTGATCAGGCAAAAAATAATAAACCGACATAGGAGATGAATGAAAGTGAACGCGCCCCTGGGACTTATTAAGTTGCTGATGAGGTCACCTCAGTCATCTTCGTGCCACTGGGGGAGAGAAAGCAGCAGCTTGTAGCTTCGGGACTCGTGATGGAAGTCCATTTTCATTAGATTTGGAATCCAGGCCTTTGGGATAGAAAAGAAAAACGTATTATCCCTGGTGATCCGAAAATTGTTTGCTTGATGCCTGAACTTTCATTTCTGTCGCGTTGTCTGACACAAGCTTTATTGCCACGTCTGTTCTGGTTTTCATCGGTATGACGTGGGACGGGAAAATGAACTGATGATTCTTGAAAGATTAGGAAAACCATGAATAATTGAACTACACGCAGTGATACATTCGTAATCCATAGGATGAATGGAAAGTACAATACCTGATTTGTTCGCACCAAATTGAGAATTATTCTAATCAGGGTAGATGTCACTTGTAGGTCAAATTTACGACGGAAATTCGCAATCGG